CTAAAGCGCGCCGACAAAAGCGCGCCAACAGAAGTGCACTGTAACGTAATCCTAAACCTAACTCTAAACCTAACCCTAAACCTAACCCTAAACCTAACCCTAAATCTAACTGTAAATCTTACCTTAAATGAAATCGCGCTTCTGTCGGCGCGCTGTTGTCGGCGCGCTGTTGTCGGCGCGCTTTTGACATCGCGGTTTTAGTGCCGCGGTGTTGTCGGCGTGCTTATGACGTTCGCGCTTTTGACGGGTCACGTTCTTGAAAGTCTCAAGTGATGAAGCTCCCACAACTTCCAAAGGCAACTTCTGTTCCATTGGTTTCTCCTTATTTCCAGGTTGAATCTATCCTTGTTCAGTTTCCATGTGTTATTCCTTGCCTGATTTTATTTGTACTCTGATTCAGGTACAAATGAACCACCTATTCAGGTCCTCATTTTACGACCTCAAAAGGCAAAAACCAAGTAGCGTCAATGACTCTCAGAAAACAAACCTTCACAGTGCTAATGACTAGTTGACTGCAAAGAGTATAAACCCTTCTACAATCTCATTGTTCTCTTTTCTCTACCTTTTTCGGTGCAATTCATATTCACACCCCTCACACCCCACTTTTGCCAGTCCATCACTTAGAAGTTCATCTCCTTCATTGTCTCATCCTGAACCACCTTTAAAACAAACAAAAAAGGAGCCAGGAATAAAAAAAAAAAAAAAAAAAAACCAAATCACACTATCCCAAACTATCTAACAAAATGAAATTCAATGGTGGGAAAAAAAATAAAGTTCTTATTTTTCATCATTTTTTAAAAATAGTCTTTTCTGTTTGTTTTTTCACCAGTATTGAAATACGATTTCAAAGGAAGTACGGTCACTGATGAAAGAATCATTGCAGGGAGGGGGGGGGGAATCCTGTATCAAATCAAGTCATTTATTATAACCATCGTCAGAAAAGAACAAGATAAAAACCTACTGAAAATATACTATATATGTGTGCGTGTGTGTATGTGTATGTGTAGGTATGTGTATGTATCGATCTATTTCAAGCTATTTAGCTCTCATCAGCTAGCCATACCCTTACTGAGAATCGAACCTGGTTAGCTAATGAGAGCTAAATAGCTTGAAATAGATTGATACTAGTCTCCCTTTATTTATTTATCAGCACAAATGCAACACACACATGTGTGTGTGTGTGTGTGCATGTATCTGTGTGTGCTTATTTGGGTGTGTATATGGATCTACCAAAATGCAGGTAGTCCTTGACTTATAACAGTTCATTTAGTGACCATTCAAAGTTACAACAGCTCTGAAAAAAGTAACTTAGGTTCGCTTTTCACACTTAACCAGCATTGCAGTATTCTCCATGGTCACGTGATCAAAATTCAGATCCTGGCGACTGGCACGTATTTATGACGGTGATAATGTCCCCAGGTGATCCCCTTTTGCGACCTTCTGACAAGCGATGCCAACGGGGGAGCCAGAATTATTTAACAACCGTGTACTGCAGTGATTATTCCCTTTGCAAACAGTAGCCAGAAAGCCCATAAAATGTAGCAAAACTCACTTAATATCTGTCTCAATCAGCAACAGAAATTTTAGGCAGAATTGTGGTCATAAGTCGAGAACTACCTGTACAGCTGCTTCCCCTCGTAGATGTTTACAATCTTTAAGAAACTGTCTGTGGCTTTACTCGGAAGCTAAAACATGTGGTAGGTGGTTTATTTATTTTTTTCCGCCTATGAGGTAGGTTCAAAGAGATACAAGCTGGGGATTAATTGCTTTGATGCCTGAACATTTGTGGGTGTATAACTAAATGGCGGAGGAGAGACACTGAAGAAAAGTTTCCACATTAGGTAGTAAAATACAAAGGGAATACCTATCTCACAAGGGTTGCAAACAAATCCTCCACCACAAAGGAGCTTAAAATTTCTATTGCTAAACAAGACAATTGAATTTTGCCCCATGATATGACTTTCCTTGCCACAATTGTTGAGTGAATCACTGTGGTGGTTTAGTTAGTAACACGGTTGCAGAAGTGAATCTAGACTCCACATAGACATTGCTTGTCGGAAGGCCACAAAAAGTGATCACATGACCCCGGGACACTGCAACTGTCATAAGTATGAGGCAGTCACCGAGTGTCTGAATTTTGATCATGTAACCATGGGGATACTGCAGAGGTCATAAGTGTGGAAAAACCCTCGTAAGCCCCCTTTTTGAGTCCCTTTGAAATTCGAAGAATTACGAAATGAAAGTTTGTAAGTCACCTATACTAGAAATATTCTGGCACTTTCAATGTGCATTGCAACTCCTAAATGATATGGCCATAAAATACATTGTGAGGTTAATTGAGTACAGTAATATTTTTGTAGGGCTCAAGATTCCCCCCCCCCCCCCCCGCCCCAGGGCAGCCTGTAAAAGCAGCCAGAAATTAAGGTTGCTAAATGATGCTTCAGTTATCCATTTTACCTGGAAGTGATTGCTGGCAGCAAGTTCAGCTGGGGTTACATAGGACGGAGTGCATAGATGCTGTGTGGGCCTGCGCTCTCTGTGTGCAAGAAATACATGTTTAGAAATGCATAATTACGCTAGGGAAGCAGACCTGGCTGTCTTCCCAGGATATTTATTTATCTCATTTAGGAACTTTTTTTTTTTAATGCTACCCACTCCCTTAACAGCTCTGGGTGGCTTACATAAAAGCAATAACAATGTTTGTAAAAGCTAAAGCGAAGCCAAAGCAATTGTAAAACACTTATAAAAGAGAAAAAGTCAGCACGTTGTAGAGGGAAATACTTATGGATTTGGTCCCTTCCTCAGCTGTATATAGCCTGTTTTGTTCCGTAGGGTGGCACCAGGAGAGTTAACATTTTAATGTCAGATATATCTGTGACAAGGCCTGAAAAATGGATTCCCTAAAACTCACAAAAAGGTGAGGCTGTGGATTGTTGCAACTGGGATTTTGGCCTAAGCTGTGTAATAATACAAAGGATTTCTGGGTATGCAGGTAGTTCTTGATTTATAACCAGTGGTGGTATTCAGCCGGTTTGGACCGGTTCAGGCGAACCAGTAGTGGCGACTGTACTGGGTGGGCCTGGCCACCCGCCCCAGCGCTGTGCTGTCCTATTTAGCCATGTTTTCTAAGCCACGTGCATGTGTGCAAGCCGTGTTTGCTCACATTTTCGGCGCATGGCGAACCAGTGGTAAAATTACTTGAAACCCATTGCTGCTTATAACTGTTTGTTTAATGATCATTCAAAGTTACAATGGCACTGAAAAAAAGTGACTTATGACCACTTCTCACACTTGTGACCGCTGCAGCATCCCCAAGGTCATATGATGAAACTTCAGGTGGTTTGGAAGCAACATGTATTTATTATGATAATTGCAGCATCCCTGCGTTCTGGAATAGTCATTTGCAATCTTCCTAAGGAGCTTTTCACAAGCAAAATCAATTTGTGGGGGGCGGGGGAGGATTTGCTTAACAACTGACTGATTCACTTAACTACAGTGATTTGCTTTACAACCATGGCAAAAGGTCATAAAATGGGGCATGACTCACTTAATAACTGCCTTAATTAGCAAAATAAATTCTGGGCTCAAAGGATTACCTGTATGTATATGTATTAGAAAAATGTCCACTGAATACTGTGTATTGCTATGATAAGTATTTGTTGTTGTTAGTTGTGTCCGAACCATCGCAACCGCATGGACAATGTTCCTCCAGGCCTTCCTGTCCTCTACCATCCTCTGGAGTCCATTTAAGCTCACACCTACTGTTTTGGTGACTCCATCCGGTCTCCTCATTCTCTCTCATCCCTTTCTTCTTTTTCTGCCCTCCATCTTTCCCAGCATGAGACTCTTCTCCAGTGAGTCCTTCCTTCTCATTAGGTGGCCAAAGGATTTGAGTTTCCCCTTCAGGATCTGGCCTTCTAAAGCGCAGTCAGGGTTGATCTCTTCTAGGACTGACCGGTTTGATCGCCTTGCAGTCCAAGAGACTCGCAGGAGTCTTCTCCAGCACCAGAGTTCAAGGAACTCAATTCTTTGGCACTCAGCCTTTCTTATGGTCTAACCTTCAC